TGGCATGCATTTTTATGGTATGGGAAGGCAGCTACGCAAAAGTACTTTAAGCAACATTGGCTTCGAGCATCTTTATTGAAAGTTTGGGAAATCATACACAAACAATTCTATACTAAAAACTAAAAATTGATCGCTCCTTTGGAAGCTATTATGCTACCGAATATAAGGAGGAGAAACCAAGAAGATACCAGGATATTCTGGATTCCAAAGATGAACTGAAACCGTTAAAGGACTTATCGTGGTGGCAAAGAGCCCAAATAGAATCCAGATATGCTAAAGATAAGAAAATAGGCTTTTATGACAACTTATTAGAGATTGAAAAGATTATGAGAACTACTGATCAAAAACTTATAAAAAGGATCTGTACGCTTCTACTTAATGAAACAGTTAAAGGAAATATGATCCAATGAGCTCAGAATATAGGTCATAATATCGACCTAGAACAATGGGAAGAAAAACATAAAAATTACAAAGGCTATAGCTTATAAAGAAAATATGTATAAAATATTCTATAGGTGGTGTATAACACCAGAAAGGTTAGCGAAATATGATAACAAATGTTCAAATAAGTGTTGGAAATGTGAAAAGAAGGTGGGTTCATTTTACCATATGTGGTGGCACTGTGAAGTGAGTAAAAAATACTGGGCATGGATTCATGAATTATTGCAAAAGGTGTTAGGTATAGCTATTCCATTTATACCTGAAGTGTTATTACTAAATATTTTACCAAAAGATTTTAGTAAAGATGATCACTATCTTATTGTATATATAACTACTGCAGCCAGAATCTTATATGCTAAATACTGGAAGACATCGGAGACACTTAAGAAACAAGAATTTATAAATAAAGTCTTGGAGACAGCTGAAATGGACAAATTGACTTTATTGATGAAGGGTCTTCCGGACTCTACATTCCAGAACACTTGGTTACGATTTTATAGCTGGTATAATAATTATATGTAGGCAGAAATAATTAAAAGACAAAGTACAAGAAAACAAAGATTATTTAACCCAACAAGGTAGAAATGTAATGACATTTACTCACAGTAAATAATTGCAGAAAATAATGTTAGTAATTAGGCACAAGAATTATAATAACTATGAAGATTCATTACCCCCATGTATGTTTTGTATGTATGTGTTAATGTTTGTTTGTTAAGTTTGTATTGTATTTGGATGAAAAAACCTAATAAAATTCTGCCCCTTTGGGAAGTTAAAAAAATAAACTATGTTCCATTCTTGAGTCAGGTGACCTGGCTAAACCAATCCAAGCATCGAAAACTCCCTTCCTGTAACAACTTGAAAGCTTCAGTAGTACAAGATTAGCCTGTTTGTTGTCTGAGTCTAGCCAGTATGTTTGCATTATGCCACTACTGGAGCAGCTATATTGTCTAGCAATTTGGTTCTGGGCTTAATTCAAGTTGCTGGTGCTACCTCTAAAGCCCTTCAAGGCCTAGGATGTGCATATCTGAAGGGTCCTCTTCCAGCTGAGCTCAGCAGCTCCCCTAATACGGCAAGGCAGGATATAAATAGAAATAATAAATAAATGACACACTAGTTTTCCCTCATTGTTCCCACCCTCTAAAATAGGCTCCTGGAGGATTTGGAGAACCATGTCTACTGCAGCATTTCAGAGGGCATATGGGGCGCATAGCTTAAGGGGTACAACTGCAGGCTATGGCCACTACATGAGCCTTCAGATGTAAGACAAGATGCACCTCACCCCCAAATTGTGAGCCTGAGTTTTCAAGGAAAGCACAACCTCATCCAACAGAGGTTGAGCACCTACCTCCAGACTGAACAAATCCAACTATTTGTACCTTGTCTTGATTTTGTTAATTTGCTCTCATCCAGTCCAGCACCGACCCCCCTTTGCACCCGATGAAAAGGCAAGACAGCTGAGTGTCATCAGCAACACCCCCTCTAAGCTGTGGAGTCTTGTGAGCTAAAATTCTACCTTGTGAGCTGCTGGCATTCAAGTTGTTAGCGAGTGATTTGGCTACTGCATAGTTTGCTCTGTAGCCATCCTTCCTGAATGAAGACATAAATGTGTGAGCTGGAGGCTAAAAAACCTGTGAGCTAGCTCACACTAACTCAGTTTAGAGGGAACACTGGTCATCAGTACAATGATGAACTGCACTCCAAATCCCACTCAGCAGTTTCAAAAATAACTCAGTTTAGAGGGAATACTGGTCATCAGTACAATGATGAACTACACTCCAAATCCCACTCAGCAGTTTCAAATAGATTTTGATCAGTATGAAATATGAAACCTTGCAGTGTCTCACAAACCAAAGGCCATGGGGAGGAGCAGCAGTCTCTTCATAACATCTTCTACATCCACTGCAGAGCAGTACCTCCCAATCTCATTTTGAAAAGGCAATCCAGAAGAATGTCATGGGTGATACTGACAGTCACAGAGACCCAGTAAACCAACACACTTTTCCTATTGTTTGCTAGGGTAACCAAGGCAGTCCCCATTTCAAAGGGCACAAACCAAAGGCGATTGGATTTATACCCTTGCCCTTCACTACCCAAAGGAGTCTTAGAGCAGTTTACAAACTCCTTTCCCTTCCCCTCCCCACAACAGACACCCTGTGAGGTAGGTGGGGCTGAGAGAGCTCTTGACAGAAACTGCTCTGTTTCAAGAACAGCTCTTATCAGAACTATGGCTTGCCCAAGGTCATCCAGCCAGGTGCAAGTGGAGGAGTGGGGAATCAAACCCAGTTCTCCCAGATTAGAGTCCGTGCACTTAACCACTACACCAAACTGGCACCATGGATTACCCTTGCTTTCTTAATTCCATAAAGATTACAGGCCACCAGCCTCCTCTGCAGAAATAAAGTTGTTGTAATAAGGCTACGTTTAACAGCTTGGTGAGCATGTTTGAGGGGGACAAATCTTTCAGGAAGAACAAGCAGAAATAGCAGTCCACGCCAGTGCAATCCACTCCTTTTTTATTTTTTTCTTTATACAGTAAAGCCAGCCACTTACAAAGTGCTAGTCTAAAAACAGGTTTTGACACTATACAGAATGTACACACCAGCTAGGATCCCGCCTGGTCAGAGTCAAAGCCCGGTTCCTAACACCATCTTTACAGCATTTAGAAGATTCTCAGGAGCCCACAAACATGTGCTCAATCCAACCATACTAAGAACAGGAAAAAAAGGTTCCTGGTTCAGTATGGAGCAGAGATATAGAGTTTACATTAAATTGCTCCTTACTTTTAAATATGTTTCCTTATCTCTCAAAAAGTTACATTCCAAAAGAATACATAACCCCAGAAAAACAGGAAAAAACAAACAGGGGAAACACAGTGCAGTGCTACAATTGAACTTAGCCTTTAAATAATTCCAAACCCACCCAACCCCATCTGTAGATTGCAGGGGGAAAATATCCAGTCAAGGTAAAACCTCAAACCAACATTAAAACCCAGAAGCATCAGTAACTGAACCAAACAACTCAAATCTCAGTGTTTTATAAGGACCATTCTGCAGACCTATATAGTAATCAAGGGAGGATTGTCAGTAAGCAGAATGTAGCAGGCAATAAGGAGGACTCTGCTAAAAAAAACTACAGTGAACGGGCACTCAGTTCTGCTAAAATGGCAAGTGGGCTGGCTATGTAATTGGTAGAATTTGTCTAGAACCAGTTTGGGATACAGAGCATTTCCCAGTCTGTTGAAGGGTAATCTAATGCTGGGAAAGGGTTTAGAGCATAAAATGTAACACCATCCCTGCAGAGATGCTGAGACTGGCTTCAAATGGCAAGTGTACCATAGTTATTTGTAAGTGTGCTTCTGCAGAGTAACTACAAATGTTCATTCTCCTTCAAAGCTCTTGTTTTATAAACTATTTGGAGAGGTATAATTGCAGTGTCTATCCAAATACACAGGGGCTTAGAAAAGAAGAGGCAAATGGCAATGAGGAGACCAGGAACAGTTCCTGCCATCTCTGTACAAGGAAACGTGTCTTAATGGATTGGAAGGGGGCAGCCGCATGGATACTCCCAAGTCTCTTGTTACTAGAATGGGAGACAAATCACTGAACATCTATTCCTGTGTAGACTTGATGATACATAGGGCCTTAAAGCTTAAGTGGTGTTGCTGAAAAAAATCTTTGCATGAAGAGAGTTGGCGATCATTCCCCTAAAATTCCTGTGATAAAATGTTTCAGTTCCCTAGTGAGTCCCAAGGAGAAAGAAACAGAATAAAACCTTCACACTGCAGTATGGTAATTACCATTTAAACACAACTAAGAAAGATTTGGTTGGGCTGCTAAAGAATGTTCAAGACACCCATAGGATTGGTGTGAGCAGATCTTGGGAATTAAATGTAGCCACAACAGTATTTACAAGAACTGTTTTAGCAGCACTCTAGTATCCCAGATGGGTTGAGAAAATGGGCCTAAAATATCAGCAGGCACTTCTGCAGTGCTCCTGATACCACACAGCCCATGCATCTTTCACAATACACATGGTTCCTCAGCTGAAGTATATTTACAGCCAAGGTTTTGAATGTCTTCTTGCCATGTGGCTTAGGCACCTGTTCCTTAACATGCACGGTTCCAGCCACACAGCATAACATCTGGTTCCATACAGTTTTGGCTTGCAGTAACACTTTATTGAAGGGTGAAGGTAAAATTTATTTCAAGAGCTTTTAAATTATAATGTAATCAGAGTTGTAATTTTATTGCTTCCCCTATGCTATTGTCACTGCTCACTGAGCACTCCTATACTGGACTTTCCATTTTGAGTTGTACACATGGAGCAGTTCTCAGATGCTTCAGTTGCATTTTCAAATGAGCAATATGATTGCTTCAAACACTGCCAGGTAGGCTCAGTTAGTATCCATGCCATCACACTCTTCAGGTGTCAGCTCAACACTTGTGCAAGGAGATGGATCTCTCTTGGCCTCGCCATCTCTCCGCTGGTAGAATAGTACATATGCTGCTTTTGTCTGCAAGACACAGATAAGACAAAAATGGTAAAAAGAAAATGAAAACCTGATGCATGGGACAAATTACATGCAGGCCTATAGTCAGATAGATTTTAGTAATCCTAATGCTGATAACTCGACTCTGAAATGACTCTATCTCTGTAAAATTAGTCATGATCTGCAACACTTTATGATTTTAGTAATCCTAATGCTGATAACTCAACTCTGAAATGACTCTACCTCTGTAAAACTAAACAGTCATGATCTGCAACACTTTCTTAAAACTATTTTTACCCACCTTTCCACAAAATCTGCCTAAAGAAAAAGGAGATATGAACACTTAATTTTTAGTTAACAAATTTTTGTTGTTCAGTCGCACAGTCGAGTCCGACTCTTCGCGACCCCATGGACCACATCACGCCAGGTCCTCCTGTCTTCCATCGTGCTCTGCTTAATTTCATGTTCGTTGCATCTATGACACTGTCTAACCATCTCATCCTTTGCCGTCCCCGTCTTCTTTGACCTTCAATCTTTCCCAGCATCAGGGTCTTCTGCTCCGGTGAGTGCTCCCTTCTCATTTGGTGGCCAAAGTATTTGAGCTTCAGTTTCATTATCTGGCCTTCCAGGGAACAGTCAGGGTTGATTTCTTTTAGGATTGACTGATTTGATCTTCTTGCAGTCCAGGGGACTCTCAATACAAAATCCACTAAAACATGGATTGTCTTGAGAGATGGATGGATCTGTAGAACTGGACAAATACCTTAAGTCTGCTCCATTCCGCTTCTTGAAATATATTAATCTCCCAGGGCAGGGCTCAACAAATTCCAAGAGCCAAGTCACAATAACATCTAGACATTTTGTGTCACCATTCACCTCTGGCTGTATCTCTCTCGCCCAAACAGAGGCTGGAGCACATCCTCCTTGACTTGACTGACTCCTTTTCTTCTTTGTATACATTTATACTGTACAGCATGATGTGCATGTCCCACAAAGCTTTCCAGTCTCTCATAAGATTTCCTTCTTTTATGAGATGATGGACAGGAAGAGAAGCTAACACACATTCCTGAAAGTTATGTAAGCAAACCAGAGCAAGCAAACACAATCAACCCTACATAGAGTTGTACACACTTCTACTTTCTTTGATATGTATCAATGTTGAAGCCTGGCATGGATTCCAGAAAAGATGGCTAGAAGTGCACAATCTCCACAGTTTTTAGAAGACATCAGACTGTAAATCAATTTTCTTGCTGATCCATTGATTTAGCAGTTGCTAATTCCAGATGCTACTCAGCACCTAAGGTATAACTTCAGGGACTCAAATGTAATCATATAATACTTACTACTATTTGCTCTTCAGATGCTGGAGACACACTGCTGTCATCAAAGTAGTACCATTTGCCATTTAATTGATTCTTTGCATATGCAGTATCTGGGGAAGAGTGGGAAAGATAAACATAGGCTTGCTTCACTGGTAAAGTAAGAGATTTACAAACAGTGACAACCACCAATGGCAATCGCCAAAAAAGATTGTAAGAAAGTCTTTCTTTTTTTAAAAAAGCATTTGGTATTCACTTAAATATGGTAAAGTTGATTCCAGTGGTTGCAGGACCCACATATAGCAACAGCCGTGTGGGTTGCTGAGTGGGGAGAGGAAAGGGGACAAAGTAGCTCTCCTTTCCCTCTTTAATCAGTGCTCCAACAGCCTCTTATCTGGAGGAGGAGCAGCCATGGGTTTTCCTTTCCTACAGGCCCCTCCAGCAAAGTCAGGGAACCTGGTTGGTTTTGAGATATAAACCTTCCCCTCAGTTATAAGATGTTCTTAAGGTAGCAAGTGTAAAGGTTTTAGATCACTGGGGAGAGGTAAGTTTTGTATTGTGCCTGAAGAGTATGGAGATCACTGAAGCAGGAGGTTTAATCAAACAACAACAAAGATTTCTAAAGTAAGAGATTTACAAACAGTGACAACAACCAATGGCAACCACCAAAAAAGATTGTAAGAAAGTCTTTTTTTTTTTTTTAAAGCATTTGGTATTCACTCAAATATGGTAAAGTTGATTCCAGGGATGTACAGGTTATGTGGTGAATTCTCTTTTAAAGCTTGTAGTTACAGGTCTGCTCATCACCACAGACAGGCCTCACAACTCTATCCTCACCCAAAGGTACAGTTAAACCACTCTGCCACATTACCAGGCAGAGCTACACATGAAATTGTTTGCTCCCTTGAGAGTCAATTCTCTTTTTCTGTCAGAATGCTCCCTCAGGCAGCCTTTAACTTTCAGCTCTTGTGGGTTTTTTCTTCTTCTCTAACCGTCCATCCCCCCTCTCAAAGGAGACTGGATGCTGAAACATCTTATAGGCTCAGGTGCGAAACAGCTAAGTGGCTGTTTTACCTCTCAGAGGCAGGACAGCCTTCTTGTATCACACCTTCCTATAAGATTGCCATTTCACGAGTCATAGAAGACTGCACTGGAATATGTCAGGTTCTCCAATACTCAGCAGTTATGCAGCCAAAAAAAAATTACTCACAATGTCCCACACCCATGCCTCCATAGTGATTAGAAACAGCAATGAGGTCATAAATGTATGGGCTTGCTGCTGGGTCACAAACAAACTCAGACATGTTCAAATCCCTAGAAGAAAGTCAAAAAGTGAGGGTAAAATCAATATATGGCAACAATGCCATGGTATCATTACATTCTCTGTCAGCCTGAGAACAGAACTTCTATCACCCCAAAGACAGCACTGTCTGTTTCAACAGCCCTGTTTTAATATTGGATACCCTTTTACTTAACAGCAATGCCAATGAGATCAGTTATGGATACAGGCCTGAGGGCCAGTTCACAAGATCAACTAAAATCATCACTCTACTGCTGACATGAGGTTTCAAGCCACTGACAGATTTCTGAATCCCCACATTTTAAAGGCCTAAGATTCAAGAAGAGATTCCAGTTTCAAGTAGTGTTGTCAACTACTACTTTTTTTTGCCATTGTGCTGCACCTAACTTAGGATGACCCCCGTAGGATTTGCCTCTGTGTAGCTGCCCTGCACTTCCTTGATGATCTCCCAGATACGAACCATGGCTGACCTTGCTTAGCTTCTGAGATCTTATAAGATCAGGCTAGCTTGGACTATCCAGGCCAGGGCACCAACAACTTAGTTCAAATCACACGGTGTGCTAAATCACACTGTGTGCTTGTTTTGCTCTGAACACCAAAGTAAATCAAAGTCTTACCTGATGGGGAAGTCAACCACAGTGTCGAGTTTATCTCTCCAGTATCTGTTGTATGAGAAACGTTTTAAATGTACCACCAAAATACGTGGAAGTGACCAAAGGTCAAACTTCTTGGTGGCTTGCTGATGCTTCTTGCAATTAGGACAATACCTGAAAGAGTAAGACAAATGGAAATGTAACGAACCAAAGCAAAACATTAATGCAGAAACCTCTCCCCATCATTTCCATCCATCATATTTTGATCTTATCTTTCCCTCTCAGGAGCCCAGGCTGGCATACATGGTACTCTCTTTTTGAGGACACTGTTGTCTACATTAAATATGCCCTTAACAGACATAAAGCACATAGTTATATGAAATGGAGGGGGAACACAGAGCCTGGATTACTAAGGATTTACGACAGAACAGTCTGTGCATCTACCACTGTCTGCTATATCTTACTCTAAGTAGTCTCTGCAAATAAAGTGAAGTGGCAACTCAGAAAGTGCAGTTAGAGTCAAGAGTTTCACTTTCAATGACGGCCTATGAGAGGTTTGTCTCTTGTGAAAAAACACAAGAAAGTCTACCATGTGAGTTTTTAAGGCATCAGTTTTTATATTTAGTCATCACAACAGGCTACAGACAAAACTAGGCTAAATTCTTGGGTAAAACTACAGACAAAGAGAGTCTGTAAGGATAGGGACTGAAGGAACATAACATATCAAAGAACTAGAATTCCAATCCTGCTCCAACATGGGTGATGGTAGCAGTCGTGGATATAAGAGATTATTAAGGGTTTAGGAAACATAGGAATGCTATGTCAAAAAATAATCTGAGGCTGTGGAAACTTCAAGGCCTCAGGCAAAGCTTCATAATTCAAAATACCCAGTCTATATACACACATACTATTTTTCCTGCACCAGCAAACTAAATTTCTTAAATGGATGCAGTGGAAGGAAATTGTTTACGAAAAGCAAAACACTGGTCTTACTTTGCAGGGGTACTTTCATAATATTTTACCATGCAAAACCAGTAATTTAAGATGCAGCTATGTAAATAGCAATTTAAACGACATTTTTTATACTGCAATGAAGAGGCACACGTAACGTGGGAAAGTTTAATTCATTTCCATGGATATGATTTCTGAGAGAAAACATGACAAACCAACCAGGGATCATGTTCACCAAGTGTTTCCATTGTAGTGAAGAGTTCAATGCAGTCTCTAAGAGCTACAGTAGTTTTCTTCTTCTGTGGCTGGAACATACTGCTGTGTTTTTCAAACGCCTAACCAAAACAAATACATAATTTTTCTTCTCCACTGCAAAATACATGCTAATTTCTTTTAATAAGTCGAGCATTAACCAGGACACTTCAGATACCTTATTGCAAAACATCTTCAACAGGGGTAGGCAATCTTTTTGCCTGAGCCCCTCACCCAATACAACATCTACTTGTGAAGATACTAGTGTGCTGGGAAACAGGGGGCATTGTACTTGGATCAGACACACTGGGAGCAAGGTCAGTGAGCTGACAGTGCCTCAGGAGCTCACCTCAGCTGCCTGGGCTGAGAACCAGACCTGTGCATTAAGCAAAATGGTATAGCATGCAATTATCTGGCACATGTGGCAGAAGTAGCCTCTCCAGTCTACAACTGTACCTCGAATCAGTTCATTGCCCCCTTCCTCTGTAACTTGACAATTATGTCTTTTCCTGGCACTTCTCTGCTACTTGCACACAGCCACTGTGCTATCTTTGTTGTAGTCACAGCAAAACACAGAGGTAAAGCTACTGAGGTGTAGGCTGCAGGGTTAAGAGTCACACTAGTAAATTAAGTTGTTGAGACAACAATAGTTGTCTACTTGTACCAGTTAACAACAGTTCAGAGGGATTGGTGCAATTATGTGTTAAGCAGTATAGGAAGGAGACCAAGTGAAGATGCAGACACAAAAATTATTGGCTGCGGAATCAGAGAAGAACAAACATTAAATACAATTCAAGGAGTTCAGAGATCCAAGGAAAATCTTCGAGATTAATTAAATATTTCTCTCAGAAATGTGAATATTTCTCTCAGAAACTGATTATTATTACAGTTTAATAGACTTCCTGCAAATAATACTCAAGAGTTATGGAAAGCTGGTACTTGGAAGAGAGAGCTGTTGAGGACTAACACTGTGAAGCTACTGGGTCAAAAGTCCTGAAGGCTAGATTGTGGGATATTATTAACAAACTGAAATAAACAATTAGCAAATCTCTCCACCAATAGCATGACACTTCTGTGTATCTTCCAGCTCATGTAGTCTTGGCTCTCAGCTGCTCAGCAAACTCTATAACCAAATGGAAAATAAAGGAGAAAAGTGCTCTATGGGAAGGCTGGAGGGACAACAGGAAAATGGATGCCTTATGGCATGCATGTTCCAATATATATTCCTTAGAGCAAGTGCTCCAATTTCTATTTCAGTTCAGCAGCTCCCCTATACCAATATTTATTTGCTCAAGCAAAACTATGTCAACTCATCTAATGACCTGGCATGAGCTAAACTCTAGCACACAACACTGCCTTTTAAAGAAAGGAGGGGAAAAAATCACCTGTGCTTCCTGTTCATCAAAAAGCAACTTGCGAGTCCCAGAATCCCAGTCAATAGCAAGAGTGGCATGGGCTGGAAAAGAATAAGGATCATTCAAAAGTCTGCCAGGAATGAGAACTATCAAGGGTGACATTTAGAGGGGATACCTACAACTCAACTTGAGGACTTTCCCCTCTGTAGTAAGGGAATTTATTTCTGATGTCCCATAAGAATTCACAAGACTGAAGCTGAAGAGACGCTTCCTGTGTTGCAGGTCTTCCTTTCCCATCTCATCCTGAATGCAGTCTTCTGACTGGCAGGCATCAGTTTCCAACACTTTCTCCCTGTTTTCTTCCTCTCCATTTTGATGTTCCATCTCTTCAATTTCACCTAGCACATAATTGAAAGGTTAACAACATTTCTGTTTCAGAAATGTTCCACATAACTAACTCCCTGCAACATTTGCAACATCCTGTGCATGAAAGCAGTGAACTCAAATGATGTCTGAGAAACATCACAGGAGATCAAAAGATTATATGGGACTGAACATTAGTGTCTGACTTCGCAGACAGCCCAAGCACCCATATCAGGACTAAAATCTAAAGCCCTGCATTGTAGCATACGTCAGTCTTCAACCAATCTAAATATTGTATTAGTCTTGGGCCTGGATCCACCCCTGCTCTTCCACTCATGGAGGGAGGGCAATTTCTGTAAATTTCCCCTTTACACTCCCGCTCCCAATGCTATCGTTCATGCTACTCAGAAAAGCCATGTTCAACAAGTACATTTCTTCAAGAGAAGATCTGCTCATGGATCCAAGCCACAGAGTCTGCTCTAAGTAGTTTCCATCTTAGGAGAATTTACCTTCAGAAACACCACTGGCACCATTACAAGTTTCATGGTTTGCAGATACATCCGAAAATTCTTCCACCAAAGAAAGCTTTACATACCGGCTGAAAGAAACATTTTTTCTCCATTAATATCCAACAAGAATGGCCCAGTGCTAGTTTGCCTGATTCCCCAGTTATGAATAATTGAAGAAAAAAGTCATCATGGTAACTGTTCTCCAGTCTGAACAGTGGAACTTAAGTTTATTAGGCTGAATCCAAGGTCAGTTTCTCCCAGTGGGGGTGGGATGTTGCTGATTCTCCTTTCTCATTGTAAACCCACAATTCACCCTTCATGCTGTTCTTCATTGATGCCTTTATGCCCCACAGTCAGTATTTCAGGGAATTTGGTGGGAAAGAAGAGGCAGGGAAGCTCAGTTCCACTGACAGAAGTGTTACTGAAAAGGAATGTTGGATCCAATCCACTGTTTCATATGCAGACCAATAATGGAAGTACTACCCTTTTATGATGGCTAAAACAAACGGATGAAATAAAATCCCTTAACTTATGTGGTGACTGATGGCTTAAGAGAGTTTTTTTAAAAAGAAAAGTCTGGGTAAAGAAATCCCTGCAGCCATAAAGGCACTTGTAATGATCAGAAAGAATTTCATGTTAAAGTTATATAGTTCCTGAATGGTGGATGTAGAAGAGCAACACAGACTACTGGAGTAACCATTCCATTGGGTAACCACTATAGCCAGCTCTTCTCTGAGACAGAGATGTTCCCTGACAGCAAGCTAGTCAGAGAAGTGACTATGAATGCACTTTACAGATGAGTTGCTTTGAGAGTAAGTCATGTACTCACCTAATCCGCTCCAAAATAACACTATACAAATAATCGAGGGTGAGCTTCTGCTTGGGTATAGACAGGAGTAGTGGCTGGCCATACAGAATAGTTCCTGGAGTTGCGTTAGATTGTCTGGCTTTCTTCTCTCTGAAGTAAACTGAAAGAGTAACGCATTCAGCACTGTCCTCCTTTGGTTTGCAAACGTCGTACCTGCATGAGGAATAAACAAGTTGGCAATTTCAGATTCCAATATACCTGCCTAGAGAGCACCGCACCAGTCCTAAATACTTCCACCTGGGGAAAGCATATACTGTATAACACAAGCACTGTCCTCCTTTGGTTTGCAAACGTCATACCTGCATGAGGAATAAACAAATTGGCAATTTCAGATTCCAGTATACCGCACCAGTCCTAAATACTTTCACCTGGGGAAAGCATATACTATATAACATTAATGTTTGAGAACCTTTTCACATCACAGCTCTTACCACAGCAGCATGACCAAGTGGATCACCTCCTCTTCCATGTGCTCTAATCTTACTCTAACCTGGCCATATATCCAGTTTATTTACAAACTACCTAAAATCATCAGGGGCTGTGTAACAATTTTGAAGAGTCATGGGGCCTGGCCTGAATATTGAAAATTTAAGATGATCTATCTATGCTTGCACAATTAGGCCAGTGATGACTACATTTACTGCTTGATTAATCACTTACTATGATTTATGTATTATCATTTTAAGGAAAGTATAATGCACCAACTCCTTTTACTCTTGCTGTTGCTCCTCTATTAGCCCTACCCACAAACCCTGACAATCTACAGATTTTCAAAAGCACCAGAGAAAGATCATTTTAAATTAGTAATAAAAGGGGTCTAAGAATGTTAATTTGAGACAATGACGAACACAGAGGGTTCACGGGCATCTATTAGACAAACCTTACAACTGGAGCCCTGAAGAGACTAGTCATGCAGGCCGGCCTCTACCATGCTGCAAGATTTCTGTAAATTCTTTCTCACTGTTGCTAACATAAAAATTCTTTCTTTATTTTGTGTGAAATTAATTGCAGGCAGCTTTGTAGGCTAGATGTCACTAAAATATATATTTAGCACTGGAAAGCCTCAGGAGGTAATTTTAAGAGCCAGGATGAACAGTTTAAAGGATGCACAAAAATCTAAAGGTCCAGAGGAAGGGAGAGAAGAAAGAAAAGAGCAGTGGAGGATGGAAAGGCAGATAAGAAGACGCATAGACAGAGGGAAAGACCTGCAAGTCTCTTCTAGGGTAAAGGAGGAGTTGAATATGCGTTTGTCAGCAACACTTTCTAACGCCAGGAGAAAATAAACTGACAGGCTAGAATATCTGCACTACTGCCCAACGCAAGCTTCCCCGCTGCTTCTCTTCTCTTCCCTACCCCACCAAGCCATGCATGGTATCAAAGCCCCTCCCCATTAAGTAAAATTCTTCACATATTAGTAGTTAGGATTAACAGTCAAGTATTTTCAGTAGATATGCTTTGTTGTGTTCACTCACCACTTCCCTGGAGGGCAAGGCATAGGCATTACATCTACCTGGGCTATTTAACAGGAAATCCATTCCACACAGTGAAAGTGACAGAGCACTTGTATGATGAAATGCATGACACTTGCATCCGGGGTGTGTGTGTGATCAGAGAAATATTCCATTTGCTGGACCTTAGCATTAAAATTCTGGTGCCTTGTCCCCAAGACAGATTTTACTAGTCCAATCAATACTATATAAGCAGCTTCACAAATTACATAACTAATACATACACAACTAACACCCCAAGAATCCTAAACATAAAACTGTTGATATGGTAGTTTGGCTATATGGTGCTCAGAGGCCACTGACCCACAAACAGAAAGGAATGATGAGTTAAACTACTGCCATGATTGCAACTAAAGCCACTGGCAATCCCCACAGTTACTACACGGATTACTATCCCCAATGCATGGTTATTTGTGAGATCATATTCAAGATTTTTAATCTAGGTATAGAGCACAGGAGCAGTTCTGATCATGAACTTTCAAATGGGAAATACTTCCATCAGTATAGACTTCCCATGGATGAACTAAATGTTCAGCTATCAGTTAAACAAGCTCAATGGGTAACACCTGTCACTAAATGGCATTTCCTCTTGCATAACCTGTACAGAAATTTCTATTGGCAAGATAGTCCTACTTTATTTTCTATTGAAATCTGAGAGAACTGCCAAATAAATAAGTAATACCCAGGACTCGGTTTGCAAACTGTACCTAATCTTTCTCCAAAGTCTATAACTAGCCCTTGCATTTTTCTGGCACTCCTCTGTGACCTTTTCCACATGGGTTACTTAGCCCAGGTCAGATGCTGGTTTTGCTGCTTCCCCACAGCACCATGGGGCACATGTTCCCCTCCCAGGGTTTCCCAAAGCTGATTTGTTGTGAAGGTTTGGGAAAGATCACAGCAAAACTGCTTGTGTGGAATCAAAAAAATCCACATCTTCTCAACTAGGTGACAGCCATTTTCCCTTCCCTTGTCTCTGTGGTGGCCACTCTCCCACACACTGCAGAGTAGCTTTTGAAGGTTTTTAAAATTTAAGTTTACATTTTCAATACCCCAACACAGCATGCCTCTATGGCAATTACCAGATTAAGGGAATCCTTGAAAAGGACCCCCCCCCCTCCCCGTGGGATGCGTTGGGGGAAATGTGGGGAGGGAAATAAAGAGAAATGCAGCAGCTGGAAGCCTGTTGCTACTGTGCTGCACTGGCAGCCACAACAACATGGCTTCCAAAGGAAAGAGCTGGTGTGTTGAACAGCTACAGCTCATAATTCCAACAATATTAAAACTGAGGTTGTTTTGAACTGTGCCTTCGTTAGGTGCTTCTTAACCCAGCCCCAATTAAATGGAGCTGTGAACTGCACTGGCAATGACTGTAGAGGTGGAATTCATACTTCCTACTTCAAAAGCAAACAGATAGCAGCAAATCAGGACTTTCCCTTAGGGCAAAGGGCAGAATCATTCAAAACCTCTTTGTTTCAGTACATACAACCTTTAACGAAGCAACATTCCCAGGGTCAAACTATATCCTTATTTCAAGCTGTTCTTTCCACATAAAGAATCAAAAACAAGTTGTTTCCAGAAACAGAACAAAAGGACAACAGTAGCCTATTAGATCAACTATGAGACTGGGTTGAAAATTCCCTAAGCCATTAAATCTTCCACCAGTTCTGAGCACTTCAGAACAGATCAGAGAAAAAGAGAGGGGGGACAAGAACAAAGTGGTTCACATGAGAATATAGGTTATTTGTTGCTGAAGTTTCACATATTTCTGTACATTAAAGGTGACCTGCAAACCAGTTTGGCAAAGTTTTGTCAAATTTAAAGTATGTAAATATATATATATGAATGCCCCCATTACCCAGGCTAAGAGAACAGAGGCTCTCAAACATATTCAATTTCTCAGGCTTCATGAGCCAAAACCAATTGGAAAGAAAAACACCCAAGAAAAATCCCACCCAGCAAAGATTTTTTGTACTTGTGCAGCATAATTTGAGAGACACTCACCTGACCCCTTGCAGGCTGGCTCCATGCTCCAGCAGGATTCTGGGTGATGTGACATCACCATCATGGTGTATGCTGGGGGCTTACATCGGAGCAGGAGCCTAGTGGGGCTGGACATCATGGGACCTAAGGAAAAAAGATAGTAAGTGTCTGGGCTGTGTGCTGAATGCTCCTTTTAGTTTAGCCTCAAGTAAGAGGGGCATTCAGCATAAGCAACCCACATTGATGTCATTTTTGTCAGATTGATTTGCAGATCACCTTTATTACAATATGTTCACTGACCTTTCAGTAAGGTGAACACTCTTCTTTAGATCTGCTGACCCAAGCATCAGCATTCCTAATTTGTGTTTTTGTACGCATCCTAAATCAACTACCTGCAGCTGAGAACATCTGCCAGGTTCATACCAATCTTCTGATAACTGACCACTAAGCATGAGAAGAACCCAATGGGAGATTACAGCATCACTAACCGCTAATAACTAATTTCTGCTAGCAGCAAGGTAACTGGGGGAAGAAAACATCTTTGGAAGCTAGACAGTGTCACAAGCCACACAGAAAGTAAAATGAATTCATACAAGGATTCATTACATATTAAGAATCACCTTGTTAAAATGGACTGCTATAAAACAGGACATAATTCACTTTCATTTGCAGTTTTCCTCAGTTTACTATTGCTTGTTTACCAACTAATACCATTTAAAAGAACTCCTCTGCCACAAAATTACTCTTGTTTACCACCAAGGTAAATAACTGTGTCTATTTCGTTACCTCACAACAACCGTAACTGCTGATAGAGATAGATATGTAGTATCTCCATTATACCACTTGGGGAAAAACTGTTTCAACTGCATATACTGCCTCAGTTTAGCTATCATGATTAAGCAAACTGAATTACGGTTTATGGCAATGTTTGACTTGCCAAACCATGGTTTGGAAATGGCTGGGAAACCAGAATCAGGAGTCACTGTTCATGCCAACCAAGATAATAGAATTGACAGAGTTATTGCTATTGCATTTCTGGATGCCTCTGCACTTAGAGATGGAAGTGCTGCTGAATACATGGACAATTAAGGACTAGCAGCTTCAAACCACAATTTGCCTATATATATGGAATCTCATACCACGGCTTGGGTAGCATCCAAATTTATAAGAGATGAAGCAACACCGTTACAAAATAAGGCCTTTGGTCTCTTCATTCAGCTGTTGATCAAAGCCACACCTTGAAGTGTCAGCACCTCTAGTTTAAGCTGTGAGAATTTAAAAAGCACACATCAAGAAAGCTTTCAGCAAATATTTCAAACAGACTAAGATGATATACACTCAGTTCTGTTTAAAAAACTTAAATTCCCATAATTATGAACTCTTTGACCATCATAAAAGGGACAACTACAGCAAGTTATTGGAGAGCACCTTTCAGAAACAAGTACTATTCTACATTCTTTCAGCCTCTGAAGTACATAAAGTTAGACAAATAATCTGTATAAACTAATTCTGCAAAAGCTTGTGTGTGTGGGTGTGAGAGAAATATCCAGACAACCATTTTGGCAAATAATGAGGACGACAGGAAGAGATTAGTCAGTACTTGCCTCTACTTTCCAGGGAAATGCTGATTGCCACTTCCTCCAGGCTAGATTGGCCAGGGATCCT